ATTTTGAAAAATGATGGCTTTCTACTTGTGTTGAACTTAGCCCTGAGCTATGTAAAAGTGACTACACATTTTCTGAATATTTAGATTTAAAACTTCATAAGTTGTGGTTGCATCTAAGATCTTCTCCACTCTTGGAATTATATGTTAGAGCTTTTTTGACTCTTCTCAGATTGTTTACCATCATTTCTCAAAGAGATCTGGTTGCAGTAAAATGCCAGGAACTTGATTTGAAATTGAAAAGAAATATATTGAGATCTCATGACTTTGCTACTCTTATGAAAAGAATTGGTGGATGCTCTACTATTTTAAACTTTGCAAATTACATTGTGTATTTGATAATAATCCACCATGTCTCAGCTTTGCAGTATTTCAAGTTCTCAACAAAAATCACAAAAAATTTGTGTATCATGATATTTGCTTTATCTGTAGTATTCTTTTTGGAGCTGGAGCTTCCAGGGTTTAAACCAACACAAAGTTTCAATCCACATAATGACTTGGTAACTAAAAGTGAAATACTGGGGGGTGGCCCTGCAGGTATATTCTCAGCTGAGAAGCTTTCTTCATTTGCTATAAATGAGGTGAATACAGGAGGGATGTATAAATATTCAGACTATGTACCTGAATCTGAAGTCCATACATTGAAGAGTATCAAAAGTCCAACTTTACTTTGTAAGATGCCCCTTACAGAGCTCATTTCCCACTTGAGCATTCCTAACTTAAAATTTATTGCTCAATGCCATAACATCAAACTTCATTCCAAGTCAAAAAGCTTAGAAATTCAGAGCATTATTGAAAGTCACAAGTATAAATCATGTAAAGAATATGTAGAAATATTTGAATTTATAGATGAGAAAGACAAGACAGAAAAAAAGAAAGCTATTAATTTAAATAAGTCAAAAAAATACCAAGAAAAAAGTCCAGAGAAATATAAGGCCAGCCACTTGGAGGCAGTTAAAAAACACCAAGAGAAAAGCCCAGAGAAATATAAGGCCAGCAACTTGGATGCAGTCAAAAAACATCAAGAGAAAAGCCCAGAGAAA